TGTCCAGATCACTTGGGATGGGTGCACACACAGTTCAAGACAAACAGCAATCAGACAAGTTCTGTGTGTTGCAGGTCAAGACTGAGCACGTTCTCTGCAGTGATGTTCGCACTGCATGTGCTTAGTAAACATTATCTGCTATCCGGCTCTATTAACTCAGCTCATCTATTAAGGCCAGCTAGGAGACTTTTAAAAACAATTGTTAGGAATGTGAGACAACAAACTGCAGAGCATGGGCAAGAAGCCAAGAGCTACTTTCTATCACTTAAAAACGTGACGAGATTCCTTGATGCACTCTCTCTCAACCAAACAAGTGGATTTCCTGGCCAGAGAGTTTCATTCCCTCCAGCCATGGCAGCAGTCAGGTCAGCATGAAAGCTCTGGGATGGACATCAGGAAGAGAAAACCTTCTGTACCACACAGCCCCCCCAGCAGTGCTGCAGGGCAGAATTTTCTCACTGTGAGTCACTCATCACCTATACTGAAGTCACTACTTGCATTCTTTTAACAAAAATCTACACCAGACCTACTCAGAATAAAAAGCTGTTCAAATGACAAGTGTTTTCTTCTAGATGATCACTGTCACCTAGCTGTAATCCTCCATTCTACAGACGTTAATATTCACAGGACCTTGTGCATTTGTTTTGATCTTTTTTCACTTTTAAAGTCATGGGATTCTGCATATGGAAACGGTTTGCCAAGACTGCCATTACTGTACCAACACTACAAAAATTTGGCATATTAAAAAGCCCATAGCTACAGCACAATTACTCAATTTTTGTAATTGCACCCTTTAAAAAGATTATGATTTTTTTTTCCCCATAGCAAAACAAGACAGAACAAATCCAGCCCTATGCAGTTTTGCATTTTGCAATTCTGCACAGACATTGCTTGCACGCGTGCCCACAAAATTGTTAGAAAGATCTCCCTTCAAGACTTATGTTAAATAGCAGAAGGTGGCAATTGAAGATCTTAATATTTGTGCATATCAATTAACTCTGAAAGATGTATGAAGAATAAGTAATTCTAGAAAATTTTAAGTGGCAAATAATTTTTCCATTAGGTCAGAAAGAATACTACAGTAATCTACACCAGCATGATGTTAAAATAAGGAATACATTCAATGTCTTTACTAGCAGATGTGCTGGGAGAGAGTTAACGTGCAAAAGTTCAGACCTTATTCTGCCAAAGGGTATCCAAAACTTCCCTCGCAATGAGCACCCAACATAATGACAAGTAATGTTGTCTACAATCCAATACTCTGGACCAGAAAGTTGGAAATGTTTGACAGCATTTTTTTTTCTTTCTTGTGCTATTTTAACATTTGCACACGTCAAGAATGTTTAAACTTTGTGAGTAACGATAAGCATTCCTCCTTGGAAAACAAAACAAAAACCAAAGCCTGTTACACGGGAAAGAATAAAACAAGATTCCTTTGCAATACTCTGTAAAAGAACTCACAGCTTTAAATCAATAGAGACAATGAACTGCAGAAACACGTTGCTCTACAGCTATGCTACCAGTTTAGCACACTACACCCCCTTCCTAACTTCCCACATTGCTGCTTATTGTAATGGCTCATGCATCCACTGCTGCCAGTTGTTGTACAAAGCAAAGAAAGGCACTGCAGACTGCTCCCTCTAACACTGTGCTTCTGGAAGATGCGGTGACCAGCGGCTCCCCACCAGCACCAGTAAAACCAACAAACTGCTAGCAACCCTGGAGCTGCTCTGCAGTCTTCAAGCAGCAGCCAGGCAGTGCCTCCTGGGACACAAACATAACTACCTAGAATCACAGAATCATTTGAGCTGGAAGGGACCCTTAAAGGCTAACTGCTCCAACTCCCTGCTACATGCAGGGTCACCTACAGCTCAGTCAAGAGCCAGGAGGCTGGTCCAACCTGAAATGTAAGCCCCGCTCACATCGGGTTCTCATTTGGGCAGATGTTCTTTACTTCTAAAACTATACACATACACAAAAGTTGAAGCATTAATTGATGGTGATAATTCTTTGCAGTCCCCAGTGCCAACTTGCTTTAGAAAGCCTTGCAGCTCTTTGACAGTCACTCTTCCCAGCCCAAAGTGTTGGTGCCAATCTTGGCTTGTACTCGGTTCACCAATAGGTTTCTTCATTGCTTTGGGCCACATGATTAATAGAGCTCGTAAGCTGTCTGAATGAACTTCATTTATCACTTGTCTAGGTTTAAATATTCCTGGCCACAGCACGGGGAAATCTGCACTGGAACAGAAAGCAAGAGGAACTCAAATAGGCATGCATGGGAGCGGCTGCTTGCAGTGGTGTGAGTGCTGCGTGCCAACTTGTTGTGACTCAGTTAGGTGAATGGGGCAGATCTGTGGGGCTGCACACTGCAGCTCCTGAATTCAGCTAGTTACAGTTTGTAGGAACAGCAATTATAGAGAGCTCCTTAAGAAAGCACCTTTGCAAACCCTCTATAGAACTGACAATAACATAAAGCCAATTGTTTACAACAATCCTAATCTGTCACAATCACACCCAGTGTGCAACTACAAAAAGCACAGAGGTGAACCATTCCTATCTAACAAGTTCTGCAGTCCTGAAGTTGAGGTGAGCTTGTACCAAACACGCAGTTCTGCAAAGGCAGCAGCTGAAGTCCTGGGCTTACAACATTTGCAAGTGAAGAAATAGGATCCAACTTAGCTACATGGGTACCACAGGTGTATGCAAGTCTATACAAAACCTTAATGCTGAATAAAATCACCTATGAGTCATTCAGGTCCATAAGTAATTACAGTTTACTGTTATAAGCCAAGGGAATTTCAATAATTTGATTTTAAAGCAGCTCATGGAATTTAGTGGCTCCCTGGTACCTTACTTGAAGCAAATTTATTTCCATTAGGTATATATTCTATACATTCCTCTGCACTCCCAAGTTTAGGAACACTCAGATAAATCAATCTGCTTTCATGCCCTTTCTATACAGACTCACAGAAGAAGCAAAAATTTAAAATGCATTATTTGTTACCTTTTTTCCTTCTGTCCCTCTTTGTTTCCCTCTCTTCAATAGAGACTATCATGAAAGAAGTGATTCCAGAATACAGTTACAAATTCAATACATGCACTCATTTGGGAACATATTTCCCCTCACTAAGACTTATGCCACACAACAGCCTATGCAAGAGCAGAGAAAACCAAATGCTTAAAGATCATCACATCTGAATGGCACTGTTATTTGATGCAATTAGGTTGTTTTCAACCATATTTAAGGGAGAGAACGCACATGCTGCAAGGCCTCTCAGAACAGGACTGTCTCCTAGGATGAGGAAAGCCTGGGGTCACGCCTGGGGCCCCTCGAGGGTTCTGTAATGCAATCTGTAATACAGTTTTACCTCCCAGGTTAGAGAGAGTTGTCCAATCCCTGTTCCACCTGGAGAGAAACAAGTCCATGCAGACTTGCTGCTCTGTATTTTCAGAGAGCTACTTTGAAAGCAAGCAGAGTCATAGCTGAGGTGCAGTGTGATTCACACAGCCCACATTTATCACACTCAGAAAGCTTCCTGACCACTGCTGGCAATATATTCTCAATCTGATAAGAAAAGTCCCTATTAAGAATCATTTGCTTGTTTAATTTTCACTTATTGAGCTTTAATGTACCATAAAAGTAAGTAATTACAACGGTGCCTTAAATAAATATTGCTTGTCTTGCGCTCACTAATGTTTTAGAAGAACACGTAACTACCTCTAGATACAGGAAGCTGCTGGAAAATAAAAACGGACCGATCACATAAACTCACGTAAGAGCTTTAAAGAATTCTTGCTAAGGACCGAGTTCAACAAAAAATGTATTCTGTTCACTGTACACACGACACCAATGGGAATAAGGGCCAGTTCAAGTTCTAAGTTACCATTACTTGGGTAATAGTTTCAAGCTGCAAGGCACAGCTGTATAGGCCCAGCCAGACAGGCTATCACAGCAATGCTTTGATAGCATGGGGCCCTTAAGTGTCAGGATATAGAAAAGGCAGCAGTTGTTGGCTGTGAAAACAGTCTGATACAAACCAGATGGGGACTTACTTGATGGGCAACACAAAGGAAAACAATTGGCTCATTCAACAAAGTCAGGCCACTGCCCCAGAGAATTAACAGAAGACAATAACAGTCAACCAGAGTTGATGCAAACAAGAAACAGCCATGTGGTTATGGTTTAAGGAATTGTTTCTCCTCAGACTAAACATAAAGTTTTGATTTCTAATTCTTATATTCATTAATTTCAGTCTAGTTTACAAGCACCCTCTTCCTCCAAAGCCTTCCGTGTAATTCATTTATGCAGCACCAGCCTTCGTGCACCTACTTAACCCAAAAAAATAATAAAAAAAACTCACACGAGAAGGCAGGCTGCATTAATCTAATGTTCCCTGAAGAATGCCAAGATCACAGACAGCTTTCAGAGCTGTGTCAGAACGACCCTGCAGATGCACAGCACACAGCGTGCTATCAGGCACACTCACTCTGAAGCATTTGCATGAATATGGATGCAGATTTACCAATTCATTCTGATTTTAAGCAAATGGAGCCCAGTGGGTCATGTGCTGGGTAACTGGAGCACAGCTGTTCTCCCAGTTCTGTGAAGAGTTCTGTGGTATTATTTATTTTACTTTCTCAGAAGTAAACACCAAATCAATTATGTTACCACATAATGGCTTTGTTTGTCAGGCTACAGTTGGAAGTCTGTTAAAATAGCTATTATTAAACTTTTTTTTGAAGTAATCAGAAATCTTAAAATGGGTTCTTTCAGTCATAGCTGAAAAAATCCCCAAGCCAGCCCCTTTTAGAAGCAAACTCGTAGAAGATTATGGTCCAAAATCTTAATTGCTCTTGCTGTTTTATTACAGGAAATATAAAAGTGACATGTGCAAAGGTATTTTGATTACAAATTACTTACAGAGATTGCACAATAAGTCAGACCACGGAGGGCCTTCTGCGATTTCACTCTCAGACTGAAAACATCTGAACTTTCTTTGCTTACACTCCAGAATATTCTCTCTGGTGAGCTCTGCACTGCGGTGCTCTGTGCGTGCACAAAGTCGGACGGCTCACACTGGAGGACAAACACACACTTGGGATGCCCAGCTCGGTGCACCTACAAATCGCAGTGACACAGAGATGTCCTGGATGCCTTCTGAGATCACATCATCCCGGGGTCTGTCAGCTCCAGCACACATCCCCCGAGCTTCGCTGCTGCTGCTGGCTGCTCTGTTGCTGGTTGACAGATTGCCAAGCAGGGCTGCATGATGCAAACTTCTCCTAAAGATACCACTCTGACCTACAGAATCGTCCTGGTTGGAAAAGACCTTCAAGATCACCAAGTCCAACCGCCAACCAACTGTGGGTATGCATGGAGTCTACTCTTTGTAAGTACTTCACTTTCCATGCAGGCTTGCAAAAAGCAGCTGAATTGAAGAGCTGAATGGATGCTCTCATTTAACAGCCCATCATAGGGCAGACAGAGCTACAGGGTTTGTCCTAAAAAAAGAAAAAGAGCTGCTGAACTAATGAAATACAAAGTCAGGGGCAAACTGCTCTCTTAACTGCTTCTGTCTCCTAGCTGCAGGGGTGCTCATGCCTGTGAGCATGGACTAAAATGCTGCCTTGGCTGCATTCAAAACAACCAGCACAGATCATAGGTAGAAAAGTACATTTTTGCTTCAGTTTCCTGCCATAAGCACAAAGCCAGTGCTTTAACAAAGCCGTTGTGTGCTGTGCTCTGTCTGAGCTAAAACATCTCTCCAGCAGAATCGTGAGGCTGATTTCCAAGAGCACAGCCAAATTCTTGAAACCTCCAATGAAGGGGAGGGTTGTCACATCATAGCAGAGAAGGTTTTGCCTGCAGTGCTGCTATTATTCATTTTTCACATCATATATATCGAGGTCAGAAGACATTTTTTTACATAGAGCTGCAACTTTCCTTGGAATCTCTTCGTCAGGCTGCTGCTAGATTACAAACCTCAGGAACAGAACAGCCTTTATCAGACTCTACCCACAGAGATACCGCCTGCCTTAGCCCTGCATTTAAAAGCAGATGGGAGAAGAGCAAAAATCTCTTTAAACCCTACATCTGCCCGCACAGACAGACCCCAATGCTTCTAGCTCTTGTAAAACGAGCTTGGTGAAAGTGGATTTAGACAGCGTTCAGCAGCGACCGCCTCCACAAAGGCTGCATGTAAAAGCAGCTGGGGCAGGAGAGCACGGCTGCCTGGCCATTAAGTGAGGACTCTCAACAGGAAACTCTTTCCCCTTCTTTTCTTACTGTTGTTTTTTTTTTTTTTAAACTCAGGAAGGAAGCTCCCTCTCCAGAAACAAGCATTCCCTGTGTAATCTCGCTGCTCGCATGTCTCCAGGATCGCTTCCAATTACTCAAACGAGCAACATGCACTCTGAAGAAGCTAATGGTGTATTTACGCTGTAACACAAGCTAGTAAATATTTCCCATTTATTAATTGTGATTTACATAACAGCGCACAATGGCAGCTGTTAAGTAAATAAAATAATTTTCTCAAGATCTCTAATTATGGTTTTACGATTATAAAAACAAACTAAATAACAGCAATGGAGCAAGCGCCAGCAAATTCCATGCCTTCTATTTCTACTGAAGATCCAGTGGCCTGACAAGGGACAGAAACTGCAGCTCTTTTACTGCCTTTAAAACAAACACAGCCCTGCCTATGTCTCGTGATAGGTACAGTGCATAAAATGAGGCCATGATGCACAACCCTGAGATTATTGCTTTACTGTAACAAGCAGGATGGAGGTCAGCAGGTCAAACCATATTAAGTCTAACCTGCTTTCAATGCGTCGTTTTGACCCAAAACATAAATGCAGTGCTCCCAGACTCTGGGTGGCCTGTGAGATGCACATTTCCATTGTTTGTGCATGGCTGATTATTATTTTGCACTGAAGATATGTACCTATCTGACCCTAAAACAGAAAGCATTAACAGAGAGTCAAAATTGTGCTGTACAAAAGAGAAACAGCGACCTTCCTGCAGCCAAGGCACTCGGAAATACATGCTTCTCACTGACCTGCTGTGTATTTTGTGTCACACTCCGCAACTTTCACTTAAGTTGTTTAGAACTGTCCATAAGAACAGCTCTTCCTGCTCTAAAAGTAAAAGAAAAGTTTTAGATAAGAGAAGGAAAGCAGTCTCTATACAACAAGAGATGCGAAGGTTCTCAATCTGAATTAATTTTTTAGGTAGACTTCTATTTTCTTCCCCTGAGTGACAGCACTCGTGATGAAAACCAGAGCGCAGTAGTCTGCAGACAAAACAGAACCCACCTCCATTATTTATCACTGCTCCTTGCAAATGCAACCACCAGAAGCATATTTTCAACAGGTATTTCAGAGAAGAGCATCTGTAGCATTTAATAGTATTTAATTAGAGGCAGCCTTTGTATTGCTGCAGCAAGAAGAAGGTACCAGAAAAACTTGGCCGTTGTTCAATGCATAAAGCAGGAGGGCTGCTTAGTCCTGGAGGATTCAGAAAAACAAGTGAATAAAATACCAGCCAACTGCACTGCTCATGAGCATAAGAACTGCCATCGAGTCATGCACTCTTACAATATATTCAGCAATAAAATTAAAAAAAAACTAATGTTGCAATTTGATTTGACAATTTGTGGATAGCAATCAACTAAGTATCCATATTACTGGCTCGGTAGGTTTCATTAAGAACAACTTTACAGCTACGCTTCTGCTCTGTTAGCAGTGCACAAACTTACAAAGCATTCAGTAAGAAAACAAAACGAATTTAATGGCTGAGAATGACAGCATTTGTAAATCTCCTTTCTCCTTCATAAAAGAGGTTTGCAAGCAAAGACTGCAGATTATTCATCGCTCACATTAAGCTGCCTCCACATGGCACGTATGCCGTCGCCCTGGTAATTTCTCTTCTACCCAGGCACTACACAAACAGCTGGCTCCTTTCGATTTTTATGCAGTGCTTTAAGAAGCTAAAATGAGAGTCCTCTACAAACAGGTAAAGCTGAAGGGTGTCCAGCTGCCTCTGCCAGAGATCAGCACAGCCAGTGCAACCGGGACAGCAGAAGCTGTTCATTCTGTTGCTTTGCCCTCAGCCATGCACAAGCTACTAAATTATAAAGGGCAACATCTGCTTTCCCTGCCAACCAGCAAAATAAAACAAACACAGTGTGTGCTGAGGACAGAAAGCCTACATTTCTCCTATCGCCGTGCTGTAAATGTTTCTTCAAGTTGAAATATGTGTTTGTAATACTCCTTGTCTTCATCTGTCACCATACGGTATCCATGCAATTTGTCACCAGCCTCAAAGACTTCCTGGTCTGATACCGAAGCTTTTTATAAAAGAAATGCAATTTTCACACTGAAAAAGAAATGTGAGATAAGAGGCCTTCTTAAATGACTGTCTTAAATGCCTGTTAACCCAATCCAGGAAGGCAGCCTTTAAAGATACTACGGTGTCTCCACCAAGCCAGCAGTGGGTCCAGCTGACACAGCTGGCCCTGATGTACCAGGCTGCAAACTGCAGAGACTGAGGGTGCAGTCACCTTGTTCAGAACGTTACCTTTGCAGGCTATGATCTCTAGCAGAGGCATAGCAACCCCAAGCAAATGCTTTGCTGAGTAAAAAAAAGCACTATTCATAGAATCACAGAATGCCTTTGGTTGGAAGGGATCTTAAAGATCACTGAGTTCCAACTCCCTGCTGTGGGCTGGGAGCTCAGGCTGCCCAGAGCCCATCGATGGGCTTGGCCACCACCAGGATGGGGCACCCACAGCTCTGGGCAGCAGCGCCAGGGCCTCACCATTCTTCAACTAAAGGATTTCTGCCTAACATCTAACCTCAATCTCCCCTCTTTACTTTTAATGTCATTCCTCAGAAAGTGTTTTGTTATAACAACACAGTGAGGCGCATCTTTAGAAGCAGTAGAAATCTCACTTCAAATTTGTCATTCCTGCTGAACAACAGGCGTGTGAATTAAAGCACTGCAAGACCACGCAAATCTAATGCTTCTCTGCAACATAAAGACAATAAAAGGTGGTGTGTTAAGGGACTTCATGCTGTGTATTCAGCTGAGCAGCAAGTATCTGCCGTGACCTATTGCAACACACAGGCCACACAGCAGCTCAGGGTGCTTACTTTCTAGATGCACATCAGTTCCTTCTTATTAAACGACGGCACAGAGCTGTGGAACCATTAATTTGTGAGAAACTTCTCCCTCCACAGAAGAGCTAACTGGAAACAGCCCTCAGGCTGATGTAAGCATTGAGTACATGGGGAGTCTCTGTCCTTAGGTGGCTTGCCTGAGCCCATTAATTTGTGTGTGTGTGTGTCCCCCATTTATACAAGCAATATTTGTATGAAAGGGGAAAGCAGGTCAGCCCAGTCGGCTTGCTAGCATCTGCTTTTATTCAGAGTTACTCAAGATCAGTGCCAGTGGGATCAGTGCCCATTTAGGGGGTTTATTGTGTGTATTTATTTTTCGCTCTTTACAATGAAGGCAACAGCAATTACTGTAAGTTTGTAAAAGTGCACACAAATCATAATACACAATACAAAGCTGCTTCAGTCAGATCCTAGCCTGTTTACAAATCCTCCACAGGCTGTGAGAAAGACTGCTTTGGCACAACTTGGATAGCCTGGTGAGGAGCCTGCTGGTGCCCAGGAGATCTCAGACTGTATCTGATACTTGCTGTCAAGAGCATGGCCTCTCCAGCAGATCCACCAGCACATGAGAACCGTGCACAAAAGAAGGGGATGAGCACCAGGGAAATTAGCAAAGCTGCTGTAACCTACTTAGATGAAATCCCTCTTTGCTCCTAGACTGGCTTAGAAAAGGTGGATTTATACTACTGGAAAGTGGAGCTGGTAAAATATATATATATATCAGAGGTAAAAAGCCAGAATGGAAACAGAAATTTCAGGATAGAAATGCACAGGAGTGGATATACAGCACCAAGAGATACTCTTCATTTATAGAGAATTCTGCCTAGAATCTGCCTCATCACCAAGAGTAAAAAATACAAAAAAAAAAACCCACAAAGAAATAACAAAGCTTGTTATTGATAGAGACAGCACATTCCTCAGGTACCACACTGGGTACCACGTGACACTTTGAGGCAAAAAGTTCATACAAAATCTGGAAGGTGCATTGGATGATTGATGCAGCAGTCCCATGGATTTCCAGCTTCTCAGTATGAAATGTCCATTATTACCAGCACATTATAACCCCATGCACAAATGAAACACCACGCTTACTTGATTTTGCTAGTTCCCTAAACTTTCAGCTCATGATAACAAAAAATGTACTTGTAGGGTTACCACAGGATGAGATCACCCACAATCTTTTACAATTTAAGCTTACGGAGAGAATCAGATGAGAATAACAAATATTTACGTTTGAGCACCAGTAAATCTGAAAAAAGACAAGTAAAAATCCAAGTGTTTCACAGGCTCCAGGGGAAGTGATGATGTGAGTTTGAATAAGTTTTTCTTTCTCTTTCGCCAGAAAAGCCCCACCTGTGGTGCTGGAATTTTGGTGAATATCCCTTCTGCTGTATACAGACTAAAGGAGGGACTTGGTTACAGGAGCACATCCCAGACCTCAACAAAATGTGCATAGTTCAAGTATAAATATCCATTCAAAAGTGAGAAATAAGCAAATCTGAACTTGAACATAAATCTGTGCAGAGCACTTGATGGATACAAGGCATCACCTGCGCAAACACCAAAGACTGAAAAGGCTCAGCCTTTGCATGCACTTCCCACTGCAAAAGACCTCAGCACAAGAAGAAGTGACCTGGCACCTCTGTGCCTTTTAAGGAGGAACGCGGTAAGAGAACTCTCAGAAGTAACTTTCAACCTCTTAGAAGCTGAAGAAAATCCCAAAGTGACCAAAAATCTAATGCAAGTACATCAAAGAGAGAAGGGAAAGATAATATGTCGTTGGGACTTCAGAGGAGAGCATCTTCTTTAGTCAGCCAGTAACAAATCCTCACGCTGCAAAGCAATAGAAGCTTACTTGGTCATTTTCCAGTATAAACTGTATGTATTTTTTAATTCTCTATTTCTCTTACGATTATTTGTATTAATTAAAGTGCCTTTTGCCTGAAAAATAATTGAGGCAGATCAGTAGGGAAAAAAAATCCAACGTAGATATAAATGGCACTTGATAGCTAGGTAATATTTACAAAAGCAAAGCCATTCAAAGCTACTGTCCTCCATGTCCTGTAACACAGCCACATACCTACTCACAGCAATTCTGTATTCTACTCAAAGTAACAACTCTGACGTGTGGCTGCTGAGGATGTTATGTGCAGATATGCCAAGTGCTGTCTTACTACGGAGCTGCTTGTTTTGTAATGTCATGTAACTACTGGGGTTACACAGTGCAGAAAAAGCAAATGAATCCTGTTTGAGAAATGGTGTTCTAAGCCACGTGGATTACCCAAAGCAAATGGTTACTTACAGAAAAGGCAGAGTTTCCATGGGAAACGCAGCTTTGCATTTCCTGACTCGCCTGAATGTAAAA